ACCACTTGTCCTGTCTTAAACTCACAGGAGTGCCAAAGAAATGGATGTGCCCTGTGTGCCACAAAGGTTCACCACCTCAAAAGCCACAAAGGACATCAATGTCAGATGACACAACGAAGAAAGCTGTCAAACCAGACGCAGCTATCTGTGTATGCAATCAGAAGGCCACAGCAAGTGATAAACTGATAGAATGCCCCAACAATCCTTGTATGAATGGGAAGTTTTCCACTTGTCATGCATGAATTACAAGCACAAGCCCAATAACACCAAAACAACTTGGATTTGTCCACATTGCACTACAGCAAACCATTATAACACTAAGGCTAAGATAAAAGTTACATATGGTAACAGTGTCAAAGCATCTACATGTAAACAGTGTCAGCATACCCAACAATGGAAATTTAAATGACCGTCAGTTCAAGCTAATTTTACCACCAACTGGATTGTTTAATGATGACATTATTCTAGATGTTCATCTAAATCTCAAGAAGAATGATCCTACTATGCAAGGTTTACACAATCCTATATTAGGTCCTGTTCATTAATTGACAAAAGTTATTAACCCTTTTATGCAGATTCTCCATACAGGCAGGTACCACTGGGTATGCATTAGCTCACTAGGATGCAGTAACGGTATTGTCAACTTTTATGACAATTTGTATTACAATGTAATATCAAAGGAAGTTGAAGAGCCAGCTATTATCCTAGTTGGAAGTCATAGTTTTACTGGTCTAAATGTTGTTCCAATCCAATGACAGAGAAATGGATCAGACTGTGGTGTATTTGCCATTGCATTTGGAACACCTTTGGTTCATGGTGTTCCCCCTAACTTGCTGGAGTTTGATACTACAACACTGAGAAACCACCTTTGTGCATGTATAAAAGCAGGAAAAATGGAAATGTTTCCTTTCCTGTGAGGTTAGACAATCAGACAGTGTAGCTGTGAGAGTCATTACACATTATTTTGGTCATAATGGATGTAATTTATTTTCATAAATCTGAAAAATAATTTGCATTTCTCCCTCCAAGGCCTAATCATGCTTTCAACATTAGTTACCAAAAACTACTGGTTTCAAACAACTACGAGAAAAATACAGCACCTGACATGCCACCCTCTTGCATCAAAGTTAAAACCATATATTTCCTAACTAAAGGGATGCGCAGAAAAACACCTGGTGACTTCTCATAATCAGCTGGACTCTCCTTTCAAATTAATGTCTGATTACTTTTGAAAGAAAGAAATAATTGACATCACCTCATGAGTCAATTGTATGCCTTTCATCCATGCACCCTTTCAATATTTTTATTAACTCAAGTAAAAATGAAAAATTAATCATTTTCCCCAAAAATGTATGCACAATGGGCCCTTTGCAGAATACAGCCACGTGGTACAACAAACACCTAGCTGAATTCAAGGCATACAAAGGAATGGGACCCTGGAAAGAAAGGATATTAGCTTTCTGAATGATGTAAACGCTTTGTTTTTCTTGCCCCACTGCATTATTTGCCATCCAGCGAGGTGGTTTTTGTACCATGTGACCATATTCAGCAAAGGGCCCATAAGAGACTCTATGGGTACTTCACGCTTAGTGTGGCAAGCTTGTTTAAAACACTTTAATTTTAAAGCTTCTCTGGATAGGTATATTAAAGACACGTGTTTGAAATTTATCATTGTAAGAATCAAAGACTAAAAGGACAGGTATTTGTGAAATGTTAAAGTAATGGCAGGTTTTCCAGAAAATCGAATGAGGTAGCATTCTTGGACATTCACAGGGGTACATTTTCTCTAGACCTCAACATGTTTTTTCAATGACTGCCTGTAAAAGAAACTAATAACTTGTGATAAACACCTACACATATTAACTTATGTTTCCTTGTGTAACAAGTAACAGCAACTGGCTCGAGCAATGGAAAAGGGGTATATGGGTGCCTCTTCACAAGAAGGTTAACCACAGTGATATTAAAAACTATAGACCTATTACAATTCTTGCCGCCGTCAACAAAGTTTTTGAACAGTTGCTTAGCAACCAAGTAACGCAATTCATGGAGCCTTACTTGAGCAATTGTCTAACAGCTTACCGAAAACAGAACAGTTGCAAGACGACTTTGATCAAGCTTATGGAGGATTGGAAAGAAGCATTGGATAATAGTAATGTCGTAGGGATCTTATCAACAGATCTATGGGCTCAGAAATTCTGGTGACTTTTTTATTCCTCGATACAACACAAGACATAGGTATGTGGGAGACACAGAGGCATAGATATGTGGGCCCAGTAATATGGTCTAAACTAAGCAAGGATGTGAAAAACGCAGAATCAATTTACAGCTTTAAAAAGAAAATTCGTAAGGTAGATCTTGAACAAGTAATTACAGAGGGCTGTAAAAACTGCTTTTTATGTTGTACATAAATGACACTTTCTAGACAAAAACGACACCCTGTAATCAAAAAGTATTATCTTATATGACGAATCTGAATACGTTTTATCCACATTTTTTTTTC